CCTGACAGAGGATCTCAGTTTACCTCTCCATATATGCCTGTCACTAGCATCAGCTAGTTCTAGGACACACCCTGAGGTCTGCCAAGCAGGAGACGCTGCTGGTTGTTCTTTGGCTGCTAACACTGCTTGAACATGAAAATATACTAAGACTTGTCAAAATGGTTTGAGGCAAGTTTTTACAAGGCCAGATGCTCTTCCTGATGTCCAAGTACACTGAGTGTTTTCTTGAGAAGCCATCTCTAGGAAGGTTGCCATTGGCTTCTTGACGAGTCTTTTTTTCATTGTACGGAGTGACATGCCACCCCCAGTAGCAGATAAACTAGTGGGGAAGCTGGTTTAGATGCCAACTACCTGTACAAGCAGCAAGTTGTACTAGATTATACATTACCAGTAATAGGCCTAAGACTGACCTGACTAAAATTAGGTAAAGCATAATGAAAAACAACAAAAGAAAGAATTCATAGTTACTAATGTTTCTAATTTCTTATTATTATGATGATAATAGTCATATTAACCATTTCCAGATAGGAAACATTAGACACTCATTGCCCAAACAGTTAGTATTACTGTTGGTTGAAAGTTGTAATGGAAATGGTGAAATTAGCCATGTACATACAGGAAATATTAGGCATTCATTGCCCAAACAATTAGTATTAGTGCAGATTGAAATTTATAAAACATTTTATTAAAACTGTTTTCAAGAATTTAGACTGCTCATGTCCAATAACTTTTATCACTCTTTCTAGTATTGATGGGAGTTTCCTTCAAAACCTTTTGTTTAAGGTAGTCTAGAAATTTAACATCTGAATTATATCATTATTTTCCTTTCTAATTATATGTGCTATCCATTTTAGTTGTTGCTGTTTTTGGAAGCCTTAAAGTGATGTGTTTTTTGTTATTTGATAAAGTTCCTTGTAATTTTGTAATGCCAATTTATAAGGTCTGATGAAAAATTGTCTTCTTTAAGTCCTAACAGATTCATTCACTTCAAGCTATTTTTAATCACTGATCAGACAAAATGGTTCTTGGTAAATGATAGTTTACACACTTCGTGATAGTCTAGATCTGACAAAGCTATTTAGGAATGTGACTTGAGTTTTTAGGTTAATATTTTGATTTTGTAGTATCCCACGGTGTTGACCAAAAGTGCTCATCTTGCAAACTCTCTTATGTTCAATTTCCTTATCTTTTATACTAAATTTGTTGCCCCTGGTTTCTAGGTCGACTGCTGCTGTATTAACAATTATTACTGAAAGAGTCTATCAAGCTTTAGATAAGAATGGTGAAGTTTGGACCATTGATTTGGATATCTCAAAGGCATTTAACAGCATTTGGTAAATTGATCTTCATCATAAGTTGAAAGGCATTTCTGAATGAATTTTTGAACTAAACAAATTTCTTATCAAATCATGAAATGAATGTTGTCCTGAATGGCCACTCTTCTTGATTTTTTTTGCCTAAATGCAGGTATTCTGCAGGTCTCTATCCTTGGACCTATGTTGTTTCTAATTTTCACCAATGACCTTCCTGATGTCATCAGTTTTCAATTCTATCTATGTTAATGACACAACTATTTACTCCTGTCTTAATAGTAAGTCTGATCAGTCCAATAAGGTCAAATTGGCAGCTGGTGTCAAAGCTAATTCAGAATATTAAAATCTGTTATTAAATGGGGAAAGAAGTGGCTTGTTAATTTTAATGCCTCAAAAACAAAACTACTCTCTTTTAAGCATCTTTTTAATCATCTGAGAGAACACTTTTTACATGGCTGATGTTAACCTCCAGGAGAGAAATTCATTGCACCTTCTCGAACCTGGCATTTTGGCTTCAATCCCTCCCTCACTGTCGTAATGTAGCTTCCCTGTGCATCTTCTATAAATAACTTCATGGTAATTGTTCTGATGAACTTTCCTCTAACGTACTGGGACTATGTATTTAAGCGTACTACTAGATTGTCAGTAAAATCTCATCATTTTATGGCTAAAATGGTTAGATGTAAGTATAAATTCTATGCTAATAGTTTCTTTTATCACACTTCTCACTTGTGAAACTTTACTTTCAGATTCTTGCTTCCTTGTCAACTTTGACCTTCAAAAATTTAATTACAATGTAAATCGTTATCGTCTGTCTTAATTCCTGTTCTTTTATTGTTCTCTCTCCTTAATAGTGTTTTTTTTACCTTATATTCTCTAAAAGTCAAAAAGTCAATAATTCCTTAGTGTTAGTGGCTTTATTGCCTTGCTTAGGGTGAAATGATATATATATATATATATATATATATATATATATATATATATATATATATATATTCAAACATTTTTGTAGATACTTATATTTGAGTCAACACCCCTTTTTTCCTAGCTTTTATTCTATCTACCGGACTGCACCCTCAGGAAAACTTAAAAAGGAAGGTGTACTCTCGAACATGTGTCTCTCCGTAGCTGACAAGCTTCTATTTGTCCTTTTAAGGAAGGCATGTTCAGATTTTCTCGATAACTATATCTGCACAGCTTCGTACCCGAAATGTAAACAAAGCAATTTCTAAAGAATTAACGAATTCATGTTTCATTCGACATCTTTATTACTTGAAATGTTTTCTCGAATGCGCAGGCCGGTAGACAGAATAATCACTGTTAAAAAAAACGGGGCTTCTACTCAAATACTCAATTTAGTAAAACAATAACGTTTGAAGCAATAAAAATATTGGATTAAAAATAAATCAATTAATTCTTTAGAAATAGCTTTGTTTAAGTTTCGTATTTTGACTGAAGATAATCCAGGTCATACGACACGGTACATTGCAGATATATCTCATATAACCATATGAGATATGTGGAATAAATGTAAATAGCTATCCATTATTTGTCAATAAAAATATTCAAGAAATACTACTATTTATTGCAAATCAAATTAGCACATATTTCAACACAACCGTAGTATATATATATATATATATATATATATATATATATATATATATATATATATATATATATAACCAGCATTATAACAACTAGAAAATTAAAATCACTGCTTTATAAAAATTTCTAAGATTTAAAACGTTATGAATTAAAAATCAAACATGTTATCTACTTGACACAAAGTAAAACATTTTTTGCTTTGCTTTGCTTTGCTTCCTACAAAGTTCAATAAATATGAGTTTGTCATATTGATATCATTTCAGTTTATGAAACTATTTAGAAGTTATAACATCTAGAAAATTAAAATCATTGCTTTATAAAAGCTTGAGGGGCCCTATACTAGCCTAAAGGATAATCCGGCCCTGGATCCTAGTCTGTATCCTATATTAACCTAAACAATGATCCGGCTCTGGGTTCTAGTCTGAAGACTATACTAGCTTAAAGGATAATCCGGTCCTGAACCCTAGTTTACATAATTTGGTCCTAAAGACGATGTTTAAGTATTATGCGATTTAAAGGAGAAAATTTAATGTACCATTTTCATCTGCGTTTATCTGCTCAAACGCAATGTAATCGATATTTTTTTTAAAGAAAGATTACAGATCACAGATTGTTTAAAACAATATGGAGGTGGAAATGTCCTGGGAAAAACGAAATGAAACTCCGTTAACTACTCCAAAAGTAAAAGCTGATCTTCATCCGAAGAAGGTGATGCTGTGTTTGCTTAGATATGAACTCCTTCCGCATGTTATATTGAATTCAGACTAGTACTGTTTCCAACTGAAATGGCTGAAGCAATAATTCATGAAAACTGAAAAGCGTCCATCATGACAACGCCAGTACAAACGTCTATTTTCAGACTTGATAGAAATTGGTACAATTTGGCTGAGATGCCTTACTGTACACGCCATGCTCATCAAACCTTGCAAATTCAGATTACCACTTATTTCGATCCATACAGAATGCTCTTAATGGGAAGAACTATGTAGTGAGCATGAAATAATAATAATTCCCTTCACACACTCCTTCCAAATTCGTAGCACTGAGGAAGAAGGAGGAAAGGAATTCGCGAACATATATGAAATTTTCTTTGGACCAATGTAAACCTTGGCTTCACAGATATTGACCTGTGAGCTGAGAAGAAAAAAAGAAAGTAGCGAGCCTACGCGAAATTCTTTTTAATATAAAACGAGAAAAATTAAATTAATCAAAAGAGTGTCTGAAGTCATGTGAAAGGTTTCGTTTCAGTTCCTCGCAACCAGCATTGAAGTACAAGCCAGTGTAAAATTACACGTCAATTATATTATCGGCCTCTAACCAACACGCAGAACTTCAAAGAATATTCTCTCAACTATCCAAGAAAGCCAAATATTTCAAACTGACTATCTTCGCCTACTTTTGAACCTATTCAAACCATATATCCCTTCGATGGGCAACGGACTTTCTTACCTTTGTCTTAAACATATTTAATATTATTTTGTCAGATCATTTAATCTGTTATATAGACATTTCCTCTTCCTGACTATATGTTAAAACCATGGACTTTAAGAATTTATTTTCTTGAAACAAGCTGCTGACACCACTTCAAGCGTGTAAATTCGTGAATAAATCTCTTGTCTAGCTGAAATTACCGGTGTGAGTGTGTGAGTGTGAGTGTGTGAGTGTGTGTGCGCACGCGCGTGCGTGTGTATATATTTCCTACTACTGCAAACGTTATTTAGTTGATGCCCATATTTGAGACGTCCTGTTTTTTTAAAACGGTGTGAATTACGTCTAACGGCCTATAGAGACTTAATAAAGAAAATGTGCTCTCCGGTAGGGTCCGAACCTGCGTCCTCCTTTGTAGGAGAAACCATCGTCTGATCTATCATACTTTATACCGCTCAGTCAGAGAGGGCGCCATAGCCCAGTAAGGGTCAGTTAACCTTTTGAAGAAGGCACATACTTTCGTTCAGATCTCGAAAGCCTATATCTGCTCATTTGTCGTACCCGAAACGTAAACAAAGTATTTTTTAAGGAATCAATGGACTTTTATCTAACATTATTTCCTACTACTCCAACATGCTACTATATGTATGTATGTATAATCTATCTATCTATCTATCTATCTATCTATCTATCTATCTATCTATCTATAGGGTGTTCGGGAAGTTACTGTGCACTTTTCTAATCATTATCTTTTATATTTCAGATTTCATCCGAATATGGTTGTTCATCCGAATATGAGGAACGTGTATTTCTCGTCGAAAAGATATTTCGAGAAGGTGGTAGATACACAAATTTGGTACGACAGCGTTTTGCTGATAAATTTTCAGATACACCTGCTCCATATTTCCATGCATTTCGTAACCTGGAAAACAGAATCAGTGGACAATACCAAACCTCGTGGAAGGAGGAGGAGGAGGAGAAACTGTTGGTTATTTTTGACAGTATGCAGCAGAGTCCATGAAAATCATTATGAAAGTTAGAGCAGCAGCCAGCAAGATATTGGTCTTGAAACTGCTCATAAGGTCCTTAGACAAAAATTAAAACGCTTCCCATACTGCTGACCATGATAAGCTACTGAGCTATTGCAATTGGTTTAACCGATTTATTGAAGAGAATATTGCTAATGTGTTGGATGTGACATTTCTTACCGACGAAACATGATTCCATCTCTCGGGTTACGTTAATTCGCAAAACACAAGTTTATGGTTTGATTTGATTTGATTCGTTTGTTTAATGGCATATCAACACATTATGGGTTATTTAATGCCGAAATTTAATTTTCTTGGGAGCATTGAAATAATAAAAATATGATATGTGTTATTCTGCTTTCGCATGACATGGTATATGATATCCAGCTTTTGTGCATATACATGTTTGTGTAGACATAATTACTCGAGACGGTGATAGGTGTGTTTTATGTTGTGTTTTTTTTAAAGTTATATTTTGCCAATTTGGAATACAGTTTGATTTCTTTAAGAAACTGTAAAATATTGTATGGTTCTTTCCTGTTGGTTGGTTGTTTTGTTGGTTGATTTTGTTTAGCGGCATATGAATCTATATGGATTATTTAATACCGAAATCTAAATATTTTGAAGACAATTTTATGGCTTCAACTACAGATAAAATGTATAGTTCGTAATTTTTCTATAAAATATTTTGTTGGTAATTCTACTATAAAATAATTGCTGTTCATTTTGCTTTAAAAATGTATTTTTCGTCATTTTACAATAAATATGTATTGTTAGCATTTTTAAAATATAAAAATTTATTGCTATATATATTTTTATATGTATTGCTTTATATAGTTTTATACTTTCATAGTGTTTTGCTTTTGTTTGATGATTCACTATTTGCTCGTAGCTGGGACCCTAACAGATGCTACTACTCCGGGTCAGGGTGGACCTAGCCAGAACAGCAATTAAAAGGTGGTTACACGTTCCTCAGAACCGGCAATCTCCCGATTAGAGGCTTTGTTATCGGACATAGTCTATCATCATACCCAAGACTACGAAGATTGTGGTACTCCAATAATCCTCACACTTTGCATGAGACCTACATGGTCTCAAGGTTGGAGTTTGAGTTGTGATTTACAGACGTCGAATTGTTGGCCCTATTTTCTTGATGAACACAATAAACTGCGAGCGCCATTGTTCGAAGATTCTTACCACCTCCATCGATCAGATGACAAGTGAGGACGTCAATGACTCATGGTTTCAACAGGACGGTGCTACTGCCCACACATATCACAAATATATACAGTTTTTTGGATAAAATATTTGCAGACCGCATTATTTCCAAAGATATGTGGCCACTACGCTTGCCAGATCTAAATCCAGAGAGACTTTTATCTATAGGGAGTAGCAAAATCTGCAGTGTATCGAGATCGTCCGCAGTAGTGTTAAAAAAATGAAAGGTTATAATTAGATAAATTTTATAATATAAGCCGATAATAAAAATGAATATTTTAGTATTGTCTTTTAAATTTTTTCATGTTTACTTTGAAGTTCTTAGGAAATTTCTGACTTTTTTTTAAAAAAAATTGACGATTTAATTAGATACATAAATTTACATTTAAAATATCGAAATATAAAAGATGTATGCATTTACTATGAAAAGATTATAAATAACATTTTCATATTAAAATAATAAGGATTATGATATGTTTGGAAAATTTGAAGGGACAATTGCCCAGTACCACCAATTATATGAAATAAGTTTTTCATAAAAAAATCAGATTAATTTATGTCATTTTTATTGTATCTTCTTATATGTACCAATATTTTAATTAAAAAGTACGGTTTTATTTTCATCTCCATCTTTTCTCTATTCTACTTTTTTGCTATTTTCATCCATTTTCCTCTTTCTTTCTTTCTTTCTTTCTTTCTTTCTTTTTTTCATTTCCCCTCTCTTGCCATTTTCTTTTTTCTTTTCTTTTCTTTCCACTTTCTTTCTTCCCTCTTTTGGAAATTAACTGTGAACGAGACTAAAATTTGAGCTACAAATTACATCATTTTCTATAACTTAAATTCGATTAATGCGTTTTCGATTAGTGCGTATTTATTTACTTTTCTCGGACTATCATCCTCATCTTTGTTGCCATATTTATCACAACGTTTCGGTCATTGTACGCTCCGGCCTTCTTCGGGTAGTTGGAATGTCGAACTGAACCCTTTATTTCGCTCGCTGGGGTAGACTGTCCCAGTTCCACGTGCCATGTCTAATGGATGTCAGTTATCAGTTATCTCCTGTTAATTCTCCTCCCCAAGTTCTCCACCACCATAACCAGGTATTGAACTCACACTCTTTGGGTCCTGTCACTGGATCTAACGCCTTTATCCACTGTGCCATGTGTCCTTAACTGATAACTGACATCCATTAGACATGGCACATGGAACTAGAACAGTCTACCCCAGCGAGCGAAATAAAGGGTTTAGTTCGACATTCCAACCACCTGAATAAGGCCGGAGCGTACAACGGCCGAAACGTTGTGATAAATATGGTAACAAAGATGAGGATGATAGTCCGAACAATGTAAATAGTGTACATAATACCTCATCTCAGAAATATAAACAGATAGTGCATATCTTTTAATGTACACATTAGCCACACTAACCGAGGGATTTCTGCAAGCCATCTTCCTTATTATTATATCAAAAGAAAAACAACTTTTAAAACATTCCATTAAAATAAATAATTTAATTTGATGTTATATTCTTTTTATGTGCCATGTCATTTCAGGACATTGGCGATTATGGTTTTCCACAACTTCCTATCCTTTGTAGTTCTTTGCAACGTCTGCCCTCTTACTATCCCTCACAATCATTGTTCTGTGATCTATTTACACAAGCTCATTAGATAGTTTACGCACAGTCTCTCTCTCTCTCTCTCTCTCTCTCTCTCTCTCTCTCTCTCTCTCTCTCTCTCTCTCTCGTGCCTTCAGTATGTCCTGTGCTGTCGCGCCCTCTTTCCACATTATGCAACTCAGAAATTTCAACTGTTATTTTCTGTAAGTACTCTTTTCCTTTTCTTTGTTTCTAGCAAGATATTTTCTAATATATAAATTTTATATTTTCCTTTTCTTTTTACTCTCAGTAACTAACTGGCTCAACAAGAACTTGTTGATATGTCTACATTTGTTAACTAGCATTGATCATTTATTGAAAAAGCGTTCCTTCTCGGGAGGTTATAAATCTGAATTTTTCCTGCAAGTATAGTACGCAAGATTTAAATGCTTCATTTCAATCTGGTGCTGCTCTCTTTAGAATCTTCCACTCAACAACAGGCGATTTGACGGATTTATCCTTCTGTTCTCATGAGTACATGGAGAGCGTTGAGCTATTTTCAGAATGTCTATTATTGAAAGAGATTTTATGCTTGTAAGACCTTTCTTTTAAGGACGTTCGGTTGCTCCTAAATAGATCATGTAAGGTTCACGATACGATTTTACGGTGGATTGGTATATTACTTTTTTCCTGTAAAGAACTTATCATGTTTGGGAAAAAAAAGACAAATATAGTGCAATCCGCCATTTAATAATAATAATAATAATTTAATATAAGTACCATGATTAATTGAAAAGAACTTCCTAAAAGGACACATACCGAATAAAATATGAAATATATTCAATTAATAACTGAATTTTTGTCTCATTTTTTTTTTTACTATAGAAGGTTTGGTTATGTCATTTTGAAAATGTTTTTGTGTAAAATAAATACTTTTTATTCATAGGATATATATATATATATATATATATATATATATTATAGGATGTAAAACTCATTTATTTTTAGGCCAATAGGTGAAGCATAAAGTGGAAGACGCCTACAAATGGATCTTACTAAAGACAGTAGATACGAAAAACTTTATTCCAATTCTGTATAAACACGGCTCCAAATTAAATAAGTGGATTCTGGAAACTGATTCGATAGGACAAAACACGTGATGTGCTCTCTACTACGTCCTCGCGGTTGAACTCCAAATGATCTAGAAATAGGTCAGCGGTCGAGTAACTGAGAACATGCCCACGCAAAACAGCGACCAGATCTGCAACGACAGTCAGTGAAAGAGAGTCAGCGAACCAGACCAAGCCTCAATCACACGTATCATGACAACGCGTCAGCGATGATTTTTCTACATACAAAGCTGCGACGAAAGTAAGTCCAACATTCCCTTTTTTGTTCACTGTGTTTCAAAATTACTGCTATCGCACGCAATCAGTCAGCATGTTTTATTAGCGTGTGCTTCACACACACACACATATTGCCGTACCATATCACTTGATTTCCTCACTTGCACCAAAAACACTTCGAAATTTTGCGGACTCACTTGCGACAAAATCATTTCGAACTATTGGTCTCTTCATGGCCATAACAAAAAACATTGATTTTTAATATGTAAATCCATCTATCTGACTGTATAAATGTTGCTGTCATATTTAGCTTGGTCGTGTTCCGTTTCTGCGAAGTGCATTTCTTCGCATTGTTTAAAAATTGTGTTCTATGTGGGGACGACACTCGGATTTTATTTTTCCTCCTAAAATCCGGGTAGACTGAGCCTATATATATATATATATATATATATATATATATATATATATATATATATATATATATATGTATATTGGGTGTATCTGGACACCGAAGTTTGGTTAAGGACTAACGAAAGTCGTTTGTTAAGGATTCTTTTCGATTTTTTCTTTATTTTGGGTCATTTTTCTTAGTTTTCTGTACAATTTATATTTAAATATGCAACGGAAAGCAGGAAAATGGCCAGAAATGTAGTGTTGCAAGGACCAGATGTCTACGTTAGACGACCCCGGCAAACATTAAAAATGAAGTGACATCGGCCAAGGTAAGGATAATTGGAACCATGGCGGTCTTTATTTAAGACCATGTTATCATGCTTGTCTCAACCAGAACTGGAGGCTTATCTTAAATCTCGTCGTTCCATTGGAAGCGAAGATTTTTAGTTTCAGATTGGTTTAGGTCGCTGCTATAGTAGACTTAAGAAAGTTTTCCTTTTTACATTTGCAATATATATAGCTTATTTAATTGCAATAAGTATAAGATATATATATTTTACTTCCTATGAACTTGCTATATTATTTTATGTTTTCATTACAAAAACAAATTTCGGTGTGAAATTCACTAAAAAATGTACTTTAGGAAACTTAGTCTTATTAAGTGGAAGTTAATTTTTCAGTTTAAAGTTAATTTAATATTCTTCTTTATTAAATTAATCTTCATAAAAAGAAATACACTTATGATGAACTTTATAAATTTTTGTGTATTTTATATTTCTAACAAATGCAAAACAGAATGTTGAATTTTTACCACGCTTCTTATATACTGGTGTAACGTTTTAATTTCACTTGATTTAGAAATAATTTATTAATATTATCTTTTAATCTTTCTTATTACAAATTTTACAAAGTCGCTCCTAAGAAAGTTATTTTTAATAATGTTTAATTTTTAAGAATTTTCTTCCGCTAACTCTTCTTCGATTCTGTTTTTACACTATGAAATTTATTTAACAGGCACCAAATATAATGGTCCCTTTTCTCTCATCACGAAACCAATGTGACCTAAAAATGTGATATAATTGGCAATTCCGGTCACCGTATGCTTAATGTAAACTTTAGCCGGTAATCACGATTTCCCGGTATTACAGTTCGGTGAAAGATGTGTGAATTGGGCGTGGTTATTTCTGTTGTTCGCGGCTCGTCTCCATCACCGGACCTGTGTCGTCAAGTTGAAATCTTTACGTTGTGTCCCTGCTGGGAAGAATTAGGCGCCGTGTCTTTTATTCAATTCAACAAAACTGTGTAGAAAACGTTAACCCTCACCCTGCTACTAAACCATGCATTTTTAAGAGTTAATTTTTCTACTTGTATAATCATAAAAATGTATATTTATGACAAAATAAGTCAGTCTATAACAATAGTTACTTTATTTGTAAATAATAAAATAAATAAGAAAGTTACCTCGATGTTTATTTTGTTTCATGTCATATTTTAGTTGCAGAATTCATATTTCTGATACGGTTTTTGTGTCATTAACACTGTTTTAACGTGGATAATTAATTCAAAGATTAAAATGCTATAGCATTTCGTACACTCTTTCTTAACGGTGTGGGAAAGAATGGATCTGATGCCCCGACAAATTATATATTGACTGTAATGACAAAGAAAAAATATATCAAGATAAAGAGGTTCAACTTTTCGAATCAAATTAATTATGTTCTTAATCTCCACCTTTTTTCTTTGAATTTATACAGCAGCGAACTACCGCAAACTGAAACTGAAAATCTTCACTCCCAATGAAACGATGACATTTGAGATAGGCCTATGGAATCCTCCATACTTGCCTGTCACCCACTACGGGGAGATGCACTCTTCTCCAAATTAACCTTTAACCAATCATCACTTCACTTTTCCAAACACAAAAATGTAGCAAGTTGAAACAAATCCTTTTCTACCGCGCAGCTATCCGGAGCCTATTTGAAAACCCAAAAATCTATAAAAAAAAAAAAAAAAAAAAAAAGAAAAAAAAAGAATCAAGTCAGTCAGACACTGACTTTCGAGAGATGCCAGCAGACTCCACGCGTGCCAACACACTGACTCAATAATAATACCAGCCTCTCATCAACTGAACACAACTCGCACTACTATTGCCGCGTGAAGAAACTTAACATACAATTTACTAAAAAAGTGACATTATCACTACGAAATAGTAATTGTACATTTAATCAACTTTAGCATATCAGTCAAAGGCACACAACTCTTCATAACTTGAATCAACACTTACAATTGTCACACACATACACATTATTATTTGAACTCACACAATTGACATTTTACCTCGCAGAAATCAAACTGTTTTAATTTCACAAACTTAAACCATCAACATTCATTCACCAAATCTCTGCATGAACACTCTTTGCAATCTTATCTCACTTGCCACATTTAACAAGCAACATATCATCACTTTGTTTATGTATAAATTCATGTTATTGTTGAAATCTATAACTACACGCACATTTTAGGCCTTCACACAATTTCACCTTCTGACACATCTTACTTAGCATAAATTCTGCAACAGGCCTTCAGTTCTTAACGATAGATGCACGGTGACTTGGCCTTAAATAAAGATTGCCTTGGATCTGGTTTCAGATCAACACTAGTGATGACTTAAGAAAGTTATTTCTGATTTAACCAAGGTTTAATTTTAATCCAATCTTACGTAATCGTTTAAAGACTTGTTTTAATCTATCAATATATTCCTCTGATAAATAGTAGTGGAAGGGATTGACTATTCTGATCTGAACCAATAGTTAAAAATATGTTCACATATATTTGATGATAATTTTATACTTTTCTTATTTTCTTATTTATTGTTTGGTTTCTAAAGTAATAATAATAATAATGTGGTATTGTTCACTCTGACATCGAATGTAAAATATATATGGGTGTTTATACGTGTGTTTCTATGTGGGTACCTCTGTCGTTGTGAAGGGCTTGGTGGTCCAATAACTCTAAAAACGATGGCATCGGAAGTTCTAAACTCCTGGTAAATCCACCCTAGGAGGTAAGTTCAAAAACAAAAACCCAGACTAAGCGCAACCAACTCCAAAACCCCCAACGGTAAAACAAGTGGATGACGATTCTTAAGATCTCAACGGTTATAGCGGCGATCCGTTGTAGTTTCATAACTGGATTCTGCATGTCACATTCCATATGTGCCGCAGAGGAAGGGTCATGAAATCAACTTTGTCGGTCACTTTCTGGCAAGTTGAGATCCACCTTAAATTCACGACATCGGCACTTTCTTCTACTCTGATTTTTTTTTTTTCACCTCCAACAAAATTTTGCAAAGCCAAATGGCAATAGGGAATGGATGGCAGGAGCAGGTTTTGGTGAAACTGAAAGCTTCTAGTCTTGAACCTGCACGTTGGCGGCGAATTTAGTCATCAACGCCATCATCATAAAGGAAACTGTCGGAGTTAGCTCCTCCTTAATTCCCTAATTGTTCATTAGGGTTCTCTTCCTACACTATAAATACTGGGCAACTTCTTGCCTCATTCTCTTTTTCATTTATTCATTTCAGCGAACACCTCTACAATCTGAGCTTTCGCAAAAAGATAGCGTTTCCCACTTGCGGGAAGACGCCATGAACATTATACACACACACACACATACATACAAACATTCATCAAATAATAAACACAAATGTTCACACACACGCAAATGTTATTGTCTATGTGCATTGAAAATTGTATTGTTTAATACATATATTTGTTTTTATATATATATATATATATATATATATATATATATATATATATATATATATATATCGATCTTGTTTGTTTTCTTTTCATCTTCGGTTGGACACAACTAGTGTCCGCCATTTTCTTGTAGTTGGACCTTCTAGCAGGAAATAAACGCACGAGTTTCTAATTCAACAACAGTCAAATACACACGGTCCTCTACAAAACGATCAGCAAAGAAGAAATTAAATTCTCGGATATTAATGTATGAGAGCTGTTTTCTCCTTGTTTTCCTTTGATTATTTTCGCAACGTCCTTTTAGAACATCTCGCTGACACTATTTATAACATAAGGTAATCGGGTGAATCGAAAACTTCCGAAGAGTGTATTGTAATCAAGAACGGATTATGTATTTCTGAGAAAATTTCTTCCGATTTTGTGAGTTTATTATTGCCTCGCTTTATCATTTTGTTTAAATCCTTTGGGTCTAAACATAAACGTAGTTTTCCGTTGGGATTTTCTCAAGGGAGATAACCCAGTCGATTAGTTTTCTAAAGTACAAATCTAACATTTTCTTTAATTCGGCTTTTAGTTTTCCTTAATGGCTATGAGTACTTTATTAGTATTAGGGGTACTACCGTTGTGATCTCTAGGTTTACTGTTATGTGGCGAGAAGATGGTACAGTATCTGTCTCACCAAAGCAGTCTTCAAATTGTTCTAATACAAATTGTATGCTTGATTCATTTATTTTGAAGATCTTATGAAAGAAGTTACATTTTTCAATAATTTTTACGTCTAGAACTTATATTATTTTTATGGTGGACATTATGAATGATGTCCAAGTTTCATTTTTCTTATTCTCGACTGTTGTTGTGCATTTCCATAGTACTTGTATTTTTGTATTATTATATGCCCGCAGACTGACTGATGTTTTCTTTAACTTTAGTTGAAGAGAAAGATTTGCACTGTTTTTCATTGGTGATGCGCTTATCTCATTATCTGAATCAATCATGAATTTAATTTTACGATTATTCATTTTTATATTTGGAGTCCAGCAGTCTGCGTTTGTTTTATCTACTGCGTGCATAAGCAAATTTGATCTATGGCGATTGCTAGCATTCATGTTTTTCTTGTGAGTATGTTGTGCCAGAGAAACTTGGTTTATCGAAAACTTTTGAATTAAAACGAACTGAATCAAGGGTAAGAACAAATAATATATACTTATTTATTTGATTTAGACTGGAGTGAGTCCTTTGTGATACAGGGTAACAAAGTCCAATTTTGATAAAAGTCGGGAGAAAATCCGTTTCGGCTTAGCAGTGGGTAGTTTCGTAATCAGAACCCGGTAGTAGTAGTCATCTTAGAAATCTACTGTTTTCTCGGTCCTAAGAAGAGCACAAAATATCATTAGCAGATCACCTCTTAACTTCTTCATGCGTCACGCATGGCTGATTTCTCTGCCGGTCGCTTCACCTTATCTGGCCTAATGCTGTCAGTTTATGTCCTTTTCACTAGACTCCAGACTCCGGCGCGAACCTTGCTTTCGGCTAACATCAAAAGTATTAATTTTTGATTGGCTAAAATCATTTTTTATTTTATATATAAGCAGAAGTTATAGATGGAGCCTATCTGATTTTTGATATTTTTTGTCACAAATAGTTAAACTCTGATTCAGTTAACCTCCGCCTTTTTGGGAACGGGTTCAGTCTTTTCTTCTCTCTCTTCTTTTTTATTCGTGGTTTGCCTTTTCATTAGCTGAGAGAGAAGTGTATAGAGATAAGTTTAGAGAGAGGGAAAAGAAAGTGAGAAGGGTTTTACTGGAAAGCACAAATATTTTATTTTAATTTGTTTATATATATATATATATATATATATATATATATATATATATATATATATATATAATAAAAAAATATAATATATAAAATATATATATTATTTTATATTTTATTTTTTATGAACAAGTGTTCATCATCTGATGATATTTGCATTTTGTGTATCGATCTTTTAAAAATCCACATTTTTCTTAAATATTTTTTGTTGCAATTACTGTATATTTTATGGAATGCAGGACAATGTTTTTCTGGTATGACTGTTGCTACAGCATTTACACGCGCCCATATATGTATTTGTCAGGCTTTCTGCCATTAGTCCCAACATGAGAGCAACATGCGCGAATGGAAAGTATCATCATTTTATGTCCCGCAAACAATATTTGGCGAACTCGTGTGGGTCCCAGTAAAAATGGACACAAAATATAGAATTCAAACAAACGTAGATTTGTTCACAAGTCATGTTACAGAAGGATATAGATAGAAAGGAAGTTGAAGTTATAAACAATACAATCTTTAGTATGTGTCTTTGAAGTACTTACATGCCGAGTGTCTATCGGAGCGAAAAGAAACGTGTGTTTCTGCTCCAAATGTTAAAAAGAAAAGAACCTTTCAAATATCGCTTCGCCTGTGATTATTCTGAGGTGGGGGTTGATCCGAGAGGGTCTTTTTAATTTTTGACACTAAAT